ATTATTCCATTGAAATTAAAACCCATTTGTAATCAAATGTTAAAAATTGCTGCATTTTTATGCAACATTGACAAACCTCTGTCGAGACTGAAGCTCTACTGGTTTGTACTTATAGCAAATGAAGAGAAAAGTTCTTAAGCAGTTGGGAATTGAAACTTGACCACAGCAATAAAAAGAATAGGCCTAATGATCCTTGATTAAGTCCCTTTATGTTCTTAGTGTACTCTACTTGCATGCCACATTAAATTATAATAATAATCAAGTTAACTGTATTTGGAGACGCATTTTGAGAGTATTTATCGAAATAAGACCAAACTGTAGGAGGAATAGCATTTTGAAAGAATTTCACAGAAATTTCTATTTTTAGTTACCACGGCAATATCTTTCATCGAAATCAAAAACTGATAAACAAAATTATGTATCTTAGTATAGTCTACTTGTGTGTCAAGTTATATTGAAATCAGACCAAAACTGTAGGAGGAGTAGCATTTTGAAAGAATTTCACAGAAATTTCTATTTTTAGTAACAACGACAACACCGCTCATCGAAATCAAAAACCGATACACAGAATTATGTATCTTAGTGTAGTCTACTTGTGTTCCAAGTTATATTGAAACCAGACCAAAACTGTAGGAGGAGTAGCATTTTGAAAGAATTTCAAAGAAATTTCTATTTTTAGCCGGGCTTATTGCTCAAAGAGCAATTGCCGGCTTATGTGATCCTGTTTAAGGCAGGATGTTAACCCCTTAGTCGCCATTTTAAAGTTACGTGCAAAAATATAATTCTTACTCTCAACGCTTTTGAGATGATACAACCGCTAAATAAAGCAACAGAAATAAAACAAAGTTTTATCTATATAAAATAAACATTAGTAGTAATGACTTTGAAAACTTCATAAGTCAAAGAACATAGTTCATTAGCATAAGGATTTTTGATAATCAGAGTTACCGTAGTTCTGTACACATACGAGGTAAAGCAGGAGAGGGAACCAGACTGGCCTGTTTGTTTACATTCAGCTACGGTACCAGATTAATTCTGATTCTGACAAAATCAGACTGTGGTATTAGGATTCAAAAACTCACTGTCAGTGTCTTATCATTTTTATTGATAGTTTTAAAATAATTTTTTCATCAGAATATAAACGTGATTCATGTAAGAAATCCATTCTACTCTGTAAATGAGCCCGGCTCTCTGTACTTCTGAGTACTTTGATTAGTTACCACGGCAACACCACTCATCAAAATCAAAAACCGATAAACGGAATTATGTATCTTAGTGTAGTCTACTTGTGTGCCAAGTTATATTGAAATCAGACCAAAACTATAGGAGGAGTTGCATTTTGAAAGAATTTCACAAATTTCTATTTTTAGTAACAACAACACCGCTCAACGAAATCAAAAACAGATACACAGAATTATGTATCTTAGTGTAGTCTACTTGAGTGCCAAGTTACATTGAAATCGCACCAAAACTGTAGGAGGAATAGCATTTTGAAAGTATTTCACAGAATTTTCTATTTTTAGTAACAACGACAACACCGCTCACCAAATTCAAAAAACGATAACAGAATTATGTATCTTAGTGTAGTCTACTTGTGTGCAAAGTTAAATTGAAATCGGACCAAAAATGTAGGAGGAGTAGCATTTTGAAAAAAATTTCACAGAAATTTCTATTTTTAGTAACCACGGCAATATCTTTCATCGAAATCAAAAACTGATACACAAAATTATGTATCTTAGTATAGTCTAATTGTGTGCCAAGTTATATTGAAATCAGACCAAAACTGTAGGAGGAGTAGCATTTTGAAAGAATTTCACAGAAATTTCTATTTTTAGTAACAACGACAACACCGCTCATCGAAATCAAAAACCGATACACAAAATTATGTATCTTAGTGTAGTCTACTTGTGTGCCAAGTTATGTTGAAACCAAACCAAAACTGTAGGAGGAGTAGCATTTTGAAAGAATTTCACAGAAATTTCTATTTTTAGTAACAACGACAACACCGTTCATTGAAATCAAAAACCGATACACAAAATTATGTATCTTAGTGTAGTCTACTTGTGTGCGAAGTTATACTGAAATCAGACCAAAACTGTAGGAGGAGTAGCATTTTGAAAAATTGTTTACAGACGGACAGACAGACAGACGGACGGACGACGGACGCATTACTATCGCATAAGCTCTTCTGGTCTCTGACCAGTAGAGCTAAAAACTAGCTCTGCATACTTATAACAATGTAGATGTATGTGCCTGTCCATTAATGATTACCAGGTCTTGGGATTTTAATGAATAAGTCAGTGATGTTGTTCATCTCCGAATTTGTATACATTTAAAGTTACTTGTCTATAGAGCTAAATCAAATAATGCACCGTCTAACAGCTTGTTCACAGATTTTTTTTCAGAATGATTGATGCATTTGATTCATGATTTTTTTTCAATAACAAAAGTCTTCAGATGCTCACTTGCAAATTTGGATATTGGCAATGTAGTATATATTTTCAATTCTTGTAATTTATTTTTAGATCAAGAGAAATTTTAAGTATAATTTTTTTATCAAAGATATCAAATTTTCATGCTAGTTGGTTGCCATTTTTAATTTTCCATTGATGAAGCTTTTTTTTATTAATATTTGCACGAGTAAACTTAAGTTAAATTAAATAATGTATAAAATACAACAAACTACAATTTACTGTGTATTGATTTTTCATTTGTATTTTTTTAAGAGCAGGAATAACATATTTATTGAAGAAAAAATTTGATTTGGATACAATTAACTGAAATAAAGTATTGTCAAAAGAAATTCTGTTTACAGATATTCCTTTCTGTGTGTAAAAGACAAAGTCACACCATTTTCTGTCACAAACGCCAAGCTGGGTCTGAATTTGATAATACCAAGATGTGTTTGTTTTCAGCTTAACATTGTTATTGTTGTCCATATAAACAAAATAATTTTTGTCCTTTGCAGCAACTTCTTCTGGTGATAAATCTTTGTGTGTATTCGCGCACTTTATCTCAAGAAGTCCATTCCCACAGCATTTGCATTGCACAAGTCCATCTGGTGATGCACCCATCTAAGGATATTGCTTGGACATCAACAATTTGGGCTTTTATGTGCTCTTTTTTTTTTATATATATTTTTCCTGGTATAAAAGTCGAGCAATCATTTCATGTTCTTTTCCATACTTAATTGCAGGAGTTGAAAGGGGTACAGAGCTGGAGTTCATAATTTTTTTTTACAATATAATTGTCTTCTTTGTTTGAATCTCTAAAGAAACAAACAGAAAATACAATATAGGCAGTGATTCTGCCTTCACGATACTTGAACCATTCAATACAATTTCCTTGACCCTTTGTTAATATTTCTATTTTTCTAATCAAATCTGAATTACCTTTGCTTTTCAAAAAAGTAAGAAAATCTGTTTCATCATTCTCTCTTACAAATTCACTCATAAAGTTTGCCATGTCTGGTGGCTGTTCATCCTGTATTTCCTCATCACTGTCATCTGAAGGAGGGTCGAGCACGTGTAACAATAAAGAATCTGATCCTTTACACAATCTATACAAATGACATTCTACGTCTCGCAAGGATTGATCATGAATTTTAGATGAGTGGAAAGTTGCAGAAGTAGGAGCAATGCAAGGATTATTTTTATTGTATCTAATGTCAAGGTCATCAATTGTTGTGGGAACTGACACTTTTCTAGGTATATCCCAAATGCACGGGCGATCTGTTCCTACTTGTGTATTCCTGTCCATGTGGCGAGTGCAAAAATCAGCAAAGGAAAAGAGTAAAGCTGTGCAGTGTTTACAAGTTCCATCGTCCCTAGAAATTATCATATCTGCATTAAAATGAAGTGTGTATATTTGCCAATACATCTTTACAAATTAACAAAACAATGAAAAAAGACCATTTGCAAAGCAGTATGCAATAATATTACACATATCTTAATAAAATTTGGACACATAGCAGAATAGTCTCCCTTAATAGTCTTAAGTAACCCCCCAACCTCCCCTCTGAAAAAGGTGAGCAATATATTATACCTGCAAATCTTTCAAGTTAATTATTAATTTGAAAAGCAAATTAATGAAAACCATTGCTTAATAAATATGCGTAAAAGAATAATATGTTGTTTAATCGAAATTTTTTGTTAATGCATTTAACAGTTTAAAAAAAAACTTACGCAACACATGCACATCCTGCAGAAAATACTTGGCCATCTTTTTTCTGTAGTAACCATGTCATATAAGGTTTTTCACTTAAGGTTGTTTGCCTTATACAGGTTGCAGAAACGTAATTATAATCGGAATTCTGTACATTTGAACATTACTAATGTGTCCATCTTTATGAAGCTTGTAACCGTTGTCCTGTCTATAATTTTTCAACCTATTATCTGTCCAGCCAGAACCTCTAATTAAATAAATTAACACATCGCATATTTCCAGACAAGGGAGTTCTTTAAGATCTTTCCTAAAACGACTTATAATGGTCGTTATATCAGGGGCAGCTATTTCTTCTCCAGCAAGATTTTGTATGGTGCGCCGCTTCAAGTTCATGACTTTGTAGTCGTCTTTCGCGACAATATGACTGGTAACTGTAGTTCAACTGCAACTTCTGCCAACCTGACTAAAGTGTACTTTCTATATTCGTTACAACTGATGCCCCTTTCTCTCAAACAATTACGTAATTCTGGGACGGTTTTTGCACTGACATGACGATGCTCCTGATGATGTTCTGCCATACTTGATGCCTAACAAATGATCACGTGACAGCAACTTTTCTACCTCCGCACAAAAGACGATAGGATCTCGGAAATCGGCTATTTTATATAGGGAAAAAATCAGTAGAGGTATAATAAACCAAATTAATACCTTATTGAGCTATCCAGCAAGCTATTAAAAATTTACCAGTATTTTGTATTCGCTGTAAAGCCAGAAAAAATAAACGGTAATATAAACTGCGGTGGATTTACGAGAACAAACTGGCTTACCTTCTCTAAGTGCCATCCCGCATACAGACCTGAATTGTCATGACGAACTTTAACCTTTTTAAGATCTCCAATGTCACTGTGCCATACCTTTCAAAAACATTGGTAACATGAATATATAACTAAATCTTTTCAATTTTGCAATTTAGTAGGAGAAACTGTTAACAGCCATCAAGTGTCAAAATCGGCCCTATCACTACAAAAGGTGAAACTTTCTAAAATTATCATTTGAAATTGGTTTAGATAAAAATAGACACAATCCAAAAAAATTTGCGGAGAAAGTGAAAATTATAAAGTGTATAAAAGTATCTAATAAAATCATTTTGAACATTGAATGTGTGCCTTTTTTACCAATTAAAATCTTCAAACACAACGTTTTAAAAAAATTGTGCTAGTGTACTCTAACGAAAGAAATAAAGTTTTCAATTATTCCGAGTCTGATATAATGTTTATAATTGTTGAATCAATTTAGTAACTGTATTGGAATCCTTATTGCATTTAGGTGGCAATTTATAATGTCGCCCCGAACGAAGTCGGGGGCGACAAATTGTGATTGTACGCATGTTTTTGTTCTCCAGACTGTTTCTCGGACGGCTGGGACAATCTCCCTGAAACTTTTCTCAAAAGACGATCACTGGTTGTAGTTTTGTTGTGTGGGCATTCAGTTTCAAAAGGGCTATCGTTGCCAAAAACGTGTGAAAAATAACGAATTTTATCTGGAAGTGTTCTCTGTTGTCCTTTGAACATTCATCATGTAGTTTTTTTTATATAAATGAATTTTATTTTGATTTTTAAATCAAAGTACTGAAAGGACTGATACGAGTTGACGGTTGCCTAAGCTTGTTTTAGAGATGAAAAAATTAAAGTCTTGCACAGTTCGGGGCGACATACGCTATTGCTTGCAATAACAGATTTTCTAGTTCTTTTTCATATTAATGGTGGATAGGTCAATTTAAACTACATGTTATCAAAGTACCCTCAAATAAGTTTGCCGTGTAGAGAACCTTCTAAAAGGAAAATTATCCACCGTACCTTGATATTAAGCTCTGTTTAAAACAAATCAAGACTTTATGCCTGTTGTTATTTTGTATAATATGAGAGTGCCGCGGGTTTGTTTGCTTGCATGTTGTTTAACGTCCCTCTCGAGAATTATTCATTCATATGGAGATGCTACCACCTGCCGAGGGAGAGCTGCAAATTTTGTCCTCTTGTCTGCACTAAGGGCAATTGAGCAGTGTCGATGTTTTACGAGCCAGCACCTATCCAACATAAGGCCTCGGATTATACGAACTCATTCGAAGGATTGATTACCACGTCCAACAGTGGGATATGAACCCGCGACGCAAGGATCGATTTCGCGACTCTAAAGCAGACGCACTAACACTGCGCCCCCCCCCCCAAAAAAAAATATGCCCCTGTAACCAAAGATGGGGTTATATAGTTTTTGTCCTGTGTTCGTTTGTCTGTTCGTGAGAAAATTACCTTGCCCCTAACTTTTGACATGTTGGGGCTTTAGATTTTATATTTCATATGTTTCTTACTTGTAAGAAAACCTTTCTTTTAGTTTCGCTAAATTTGACCTCTCGACCTTAGAGTTTGACCCACTTTTACCGAAAAAGAACCAAACTTTAACCTTGGCCATAACTTTTAAAGATTGGTGCTAGGTCTTGCATGCCTCAAATATGTATTCACTGTGACCTTTGAATGGGTATAAAATAAAATGTTTTTTGACCTTGATCTAGTTTGACCAACTTTGTAAAAATAAATTTGGCCATAACTTTTGCACAATTAATACTTGGGCTTTCATATTTCACACTTGAATTCCTTCTGACAAGACCTTTCTTTTGATACTAACAATTTTGACCTCTTTACCTTGACTTTGGAGTTTGACTTGCATTTGAGAAACGCAATCCTTCGCCATAACTGCCGAATGCGTGGAACAATATTTCACAAACGCACCTTGTTTTTTCCTCCCCCTCAACAATTCAACAAGCGACCAAACGAGACCAACCGGATCAAAAAAATTTTTCCTATAAAAGTTTGATCTTTTATTGAGTCCCCACCCTACCTCTGGGGTTCATGATTTTAACAAAGTTGAATCTACACTACCTGCTTCCATATATGAATAATCGTGACTTTGTTGTTCTTGAAAAGATTTTTCTTGCTTTCCTGTGTAAATCTTTGAAAGTCCATTGTGACCTCTCCCCCCCCCCCCCCATCCCTCCCTACCTCTCGTGGTCAAATTTTAACAAATTCGAATCCTCACTAAATGGTGATGTTTCTACATAATTTTTGATTTTTAGGCCCAGTGGTTCTGGAGAAGATTTTAAAGTATTCCAATGTAAAATTTTTGATCGACCACTGCGGCTCCCTCCTGCCCCCAGGGTTCATGATTTTAATGAACGTGAAATTACACTTCCTGAGAAAGGTTCCACATAAGTTTCAGCGCTTATGATTCAGTGGTTCTTGAGAAGAATTTTTAAGGATACAATTAATCTTTTACTAATTTGTATTTATGTCTCCTTTGAAGAAGGCGTTACCCTTGTTTTTAACAAACGAGAATTCCCTTTACCAATGGATATTTTAAATGGTGTCTTTGGGCGACACTACTTAGAACAAACAAGATTCTCGAGGAACTTGTTCTTCTTGTTCTCAAGAATAAACGCCCTAACAACAAGAAAAATAACTAGAAGTCTGCTTTTCCAAGCAATAGCTTATGTCTCCCCGAACTGGACAAGACTTTCATTTATTTCATCATTAAAACAATATATTATAGCTAAGCCTGGAAAAACCATCAACTCGTATCAGTCCTTTAAGTACTTTGATTTAAAAATCAAAGTTAAAGAATTTTCACTTTTCCCCTGTTTCCATGGAAACTATTGACAATTTGCAATTTTTAAATCCAATGAGCACAATTACAGATGCTACTCATTACATTAAATGAAATTTCATGAAGAATGTTCAAGGGCCCAGGAGATCACTCGCCGACAAAATTTGTCGCTTTTGAGCACAATTACAGATGCTACTCATTACATTCCCCTTTGAGGAAAGTTTCAGGAAGATTGTCCCAGCCATCTCCTAGAAACAGCCTGGAGAACAAAAACATGCGTACAATCGCAATATGTGGCCCGACTTCGTTCGGGGCGACATAATGAGAACAAAGCAATATGGCGTCTTATTTGAGAAAATGTATTTTGTGGAAGAATTTTTATTTGAAAACCAATTTTCAGACTCCTGTAGTTTAGCGACCATGTGCCAGTATTTTTTGGCCGTATCAGTAACCCAAAATGACCCAAAGACCAAAAGTATTTTTTGAGAATTTTATTATTATATGGTCGGAAAAAGAGTTGAAAATACATTAAAGAGTTAGTAAAGCTATGTAATTCCTGTTTTAAAAAGAATTAATGTACATGTAATTTTCTAAAAGGTGATTTTTTTAAATTTCTTTTTTTTTTTGAAATGGCTATGATTTTTGATATGAAAAGAGAAATTTAAGGGCTTTCATGTTAAACATGTGTATTACCTTATGACAAGACCTTTCTTTATACACCTTTTAACCTCGTGACCTTGACCTAGCAGTTTGACTTACTTTCCTATAACTCGAACTTCAGGCGTTGCCATGTCTTTTGAATAAGCTCTAAAGCAATGATATTAAACCTTTCTAAATACACTATCATTTTTGATCTTCTGACTTTGACGTTTGACCTAACTTTCGAAAATGTCAATCTTTCCTTATTACATTTGATGGAGAAAAATGTGCATGTGCATTACCTGCACCAAGATATTTCAGACATGATGTGATTTGATTTGAACATATTTTATTATGTAGCAATTACATAATCGGATTGGGCAGTAGGCATAGCCTATATAAGCACTCTCCACAGGTACAAGGTTAATTAATACAAATATAGTAACAGGTTCATATACCACATGTTATAATTTCTGACCCTTTGACCTTCAACATTGATTACCCCGTGGGGATCCGGGTTAGAATAGGTCCTCAGTACCCCCTTTGCATGTCGTAAAAGGCGACTAAATGGGGCGGTCCTTCGGAGGAGACCGTATAAACCGAGGCCCCGTGTCACAGCAGGTGTGGCACGATAAAGATCCCTCCCTGCTCAAAGGCCGTAAGTGCCGAGCAGAGGCCTAAATTTGTAGCCCTTCATCGGCAATGGTGACGTCTCCATATCAGTGAAATATTTTGGAGAGGGACGGTAAACAGTATACAATCAATCAATCAAGATTGAATAACTAACTTTTGACCAATCTTCTGAAAAATAAACTTCAGTGATAACCTGCCACGCAGTAGTTAGAGCGTCTGCTTTGGAATAGCCAAGTAAGGAGTTGATCGTTACGTCGCGGGTTCAAATCCCACTGTTGGACGTGGAGACCGGTCCTTTAGATGAAAACGTATAAAACGAAGATTTGTGTCGCAGTTGATGCTGGAACGAAAAAGTTCCCTTCTTACTCAATGGCCCTAAGTGCCGAGTATAGGACAAAATTTGCAGCTCTCCACAGGCAAATGGTGACCATGTCTTCCTATGAGTGAAAAATTCTCGAGAGGGACGTTAAACAGTAAACAATCTCAATGACATTTGATAGGGCGTTCATATTTGACACAATATGCCATAAGAATGACATCCAAGACACTGAAAGCGGGGTGGGGAGCGGGGCACAATTCTTTGAATTTTCCTGTAATTCTTGAACTCTTCTAAAGTGTAGAGAAGAATCAGTCACAATGAAGCAGTTATGCCTGGCCATATTGTATGGAATGTTCCTTTTTGTATGTGACGGATGGCAGATACGAAAGTCCAAGTATCCGTGAGTAACTGTTTCGTTACAGAATAGGTCTGTAGAAATATAATCAGTCTTTTTGTGTTTTGTAAGTAGATCTAGAAAAGGAAGTGAATCACATTTCATGTCATTTGTGAAATTAATTGAATCGTGTAATGACCGAATGGAAATTTCTAAGATCCTCTTCAGTCTTTGTCCAAAAGATGAAGCATACATCCAAGTATCTTTTTCCAATACTCTTTAATGTACTACAAAAAGTCCAGATCAAACGTTTCCAGTTAAATATTGTTAAGTTT